CCACAGGGAATGTTAACATGACTTCCTTGAGAATGTTAACACAATTCCACAGGGAATGTTAACATGACTCCACAGGAAATGGTAGCACAACTCCACAGGGAATGTTAACATGACTTCATTGAGAATGTTAACACAATTTCACAGGGAATGTTAACACAACTCCACTGGGAATGTTAACACGACTCCACAGGGAATGTTAACATGACTCCACAGGGAATATTAACACGAATCCACATGGAATGTTAACATGACTTCCTTGAGAATGTTAACACAATTCACAAGGAATGTTAACATGACTCCACAGGGAATGTTAACATGACTTCACAGGGAATATTAACATGAATCCACAGGGGATGTTAACATGACTCCACAGGGAATATTAACACAACTGCACAGGAAATGTTAACATGACTTCATTGAGAATGTTAACACAATTCCACGGGGAATATTAACATAACTCCATGGGGAATGTTAAGATAACTCTATGGGGAATGTTATCCTGCTCTGCAGTGAAGATGTCCTGATTGATTTGGTAGAGAGAGAAAAAGAATTTCATAGTCTAATATCAGATAAAAGGTTTTAAGTCTGCCTGTTACTTGACAACTTAAGTGTTATATGTCAGTCCAATATTGATCTAGTTAAAAGATGAATGTACATTCTGTCAGTTATTCTGCATGATATGTCAATATAAATACATAGTGGGCAAATATGAAGTAATGCCCAAATGTATCAAATATTGTTTTTTAGTATTAAAATTTTGGGATTTAATTTCCCCATTTCTCTGAAAACATTGAAATTATTATTGTTATGATTATAGTAGCACAGGAAGATCAAATGAGAATGTGCGCACCCTACAAATGTTCATTTCCTTCATGCCTTTTATGGCCTTACTTAGGCTACTAATTCCCATATGTATAATTTCCACACTTCCTGGATATGTTAATTGTGTCCCAAATTGACCATTTGCCTTCACCTACATATGTTAGGACAATTGTTGTTGTTTTTTTGAATGACAAAACTAAAAAATCTCTAAACGCAAATCTTGTCAGTCTCATGTGCTTTTACATTGACATTGCCAAATACAAGCACACATTGTAGTTGTATGTAATACAATATTCTGTATCATAATATGTTGAGGCATGGAAATTCTCAGGGTTATACCTTTAAATTAAGGTCATGCGAACTTATATAAATTCATGCAATCCATTATAAAGTCACAACATTTATACTCTGTGTTACGTGTTTTGACTACTAAATAGACCATTGCGATGGTACCTATACCAAAATAATGTATGGTGATTTAAATTATGTGCGAGTGTATTGTAGCATGGCAATCCTTTCATCAAATCAAGGCTACACAGGTATTTTTGAAACCCATCGTTGAGTGAATGAATCACTGAAAGTGAAATACAGGAATTTGTTTTGACCTTGTACGTGCAGTACATGTCTGTCACATGGAGGGTCAGTACCACATATTGTGATCCACAGAAGGCAGTTTAACCCTGAGATAGGTAAATTAATTTCAAATTAAGCACTTCCTGTCAGAACATATCATTTGTGAAATAATAAGATGACTGTGTTAGACCGTTTAGTGTTGTATAAAATATTGTAGTGCTAATTTGAAACTGTGTCACCGTGAATCACCATAGCAAACAACATTAGTGCAGTAATAGGTTTATGTTTGAAGTATCCTAGTAACTGTGTCACCGTGAGTGAATCACGTAGCTTACTATTATAGTACAGTCAAAGCTGTGTTTTATTGTGATCATATATATATATATATATATATATATATATATATATATATATATACAATAATCATCTTCCAAGAGTGACTACTTCAGGCAGTTTAAATGCAATTTACATACAATGTCCTGTATATAAAGGCCACCTGTCTAATGTGACCAGTGGCTGCCCGTTTCATCAAATGAACCTGTGTATAAAGGCCACCTGTCTAATGTGACCAGTGGCTGCCTGTTTGGTCAAATGAACCTGTGTATAAAGGTCATCTGTCTAATGTGACCAGTGGCTGCCATTTTGGTCAAATGAACCTGTGTATAAAGGCCACCTGTCTAATGTGACCAGTGGCTGCCTGTTTGGTCAAATGAACCTGTGTATAAAGGCCACCTGTCTAATGTGACCAGTGGCTGCCTGTTTGGTCAAATGAATCTGTGTATAAAGGTCATCTGTCTAATGTGACCAGTGATCGAATGTTTGGTCAAATGAATCTGTGTATAGAGGCCACCTGTCTAATGTGACCAGTGCTCGCCCATTTGGTCAAATGAACCTGTGTATAAAGGCCACCTGTCTTATGTGACCAGTGCCCGCCCATTTGGTCAATAGAACCTGTGTATAAAGGCCACCTGTCTAATGTGACTAGTGATCGAATGTTTGGTCAAATGAACCTGTGTATAAAGGTCACCTGTCTAATGTGACCAGTGGCTGCCTGTTTGGTCAAATGACCCTGTGTATAAAGGTCACCTGTCTAATGTGACCAGTGGCTGCCCATTTGGTCAAATGACCCTGTGTATAAAGGTCACCTGGGAAATGATTGTACATTCAGTGTGTTTCTAAGACAAACAAGTAATTCTTTTATTTCCATGTATTCTCCGTCTTCAAATATCAGTTGACAAATTGCCTTTTCAAACAGACAAACTTTTGTTCACAAATTGAGTAATTAACTTTAACACAGTCCCTGTGACAGAGAGACAGTTACTTTAAATATCTTAGGTGATCACTTACAGGTTCCACTGTAATATTTTAATGTCAAATGCTATACACATGTTGTATATTGACACTGAATCATGTGGCTATAGATGTATAATTGATTAGTATCATCTTCTTTTGCATCTTACTATGAACGAAAAAGCAACTCAACCAGCAGTATTGCAATGGATCTAACTGTTTTGCTTAAGTAGCAATATTGATATCAGCTCACCATTACAAACTGTTACATTTGATCTATCAGTATTGCTATTTTATTTGCAAAACAGTGAGATATATTACAATACTGCTGGTTGGGTTGCGTTTTCTTTCGCAGCGAGTTAATTTATGCATACATAGTTGTAGCAAGTATATTTATAATATTGGAACAATTCTTACTAATGGACATTGGTGTCTTTCAGGAAAAAAATGAGAATAATTATTTTCAGGTATCCATGGAATATCACCTGACTAACCTCTCATCTGAAGCACCACCTAATCTCCCAAAACTCACACACCCACCCGCCCACACATGTAACCACTGATAGTTACCACTTCTTATCTGACTGCACTTTTAAGTGTTCATGGGTACTGACATTATGAACATTTCTTATCAGTAGACTAAATCTAGGTGCTTTTCATACGTCACAGTTGTACAAATTTAACTGGGAGTTCCCCCTGTTCACACCCTAGCTGCATTTAAACTTTTGAGTGCCAGATATTTTCCCGCCCAAAATGTACATGTACCTACAGTTTAGTCTGGGCATACATGTAACTTGATTCCCCAACTGGCTGTCAGATGGCTTTGCCTTTTCATAAAATCTTATAATTTTTAAAGTGTGTATCATTTGTCAACACAAACTTCTACTTATTCTTTACCTATGTTACTAATGTAAGACATATTTAGGTATATATTACTGTAAAATACTTTATTTTAGCTTGATTTAATTTTCGCTGAAAAAGCTTTTTGGGGATTTTTGTATGGAATATATTTTCACTGATTTTTGATCAGTTGAATTTAAAATATAGGAGAAAAATATATTTGCTGGAATCTATTTTCACTGAAGCATCCCCTTCAAGGAAAATGGTGAAAATAAAGTATTCTACAGTACTCTGCACAATTTAGTTTCAAAAGCATGCTAAGCTAGTTTTAACCTTTTCACCAACCAGACTTTTTCCCCAAAACTTATATTTTTCATTATTTCTGCAAATGAACCCTAATTTTGGAGCCAACTTACAAAATGTTAGTCAATTGGCTGTTTTTATCTCAAGCTTCTATTAAAGAAAAATGCAGCCTATAAACAGGACTACTGTAAAGTGACTAATTTTCACTGCGTTTAAATTTCGTTGATTTACCATTTCAGGCATATTCAGTGGGTTTTAAATTCACGGTTTCATCATTTAGATAATGTGTTCTATGCTAAATTTTACATATTCACTGAGTTTTAATTTAGCATATTTCCCAGTCAGCGAAATAAGCAGAATTAAAACCCAGTGAATAATTAAGCTTTTTACAATATTTTGTGAATTTGTGATGAATTGAGGAAACTGGAGGTGAAAAGGATAAGCATGCTAAATGTTGCACTCAGACTGTACTGTATGTTAAAATGACAAAGTTTGAAAATGCACAGAAACATTGCAATGCTGATTAATTAACACTTTCACTGAAGGTCAGCTCAGCTGTCATTCTGGATTATTCAAATTCCAGAACCAGCGGAGTCTGTTTTTGTTACATATATATCTCATTGTTTATAATTTCCCAAAGTGATAGCAATAGATATATTTATTTATTGTTTTTAGATTTTCAGAATAAATTCCATCCAGTAGTGACCCGCAGAGCCAATATTGTGTCTCATGTCACCAATGTGGTTGTTATTTTTAATTCATACAACTCCTAGAAGGTTCCCACATTGTTAAAATTGCACTCAAGGCATCCTGCATCAAGTTTTAGCAACGTGAACTTAGTTTAACACCAAAATCAATTTGACCATCCACAAAATAGTTTCGTTTATAGTCTGCTCATTTCCCCATCGAATGTTGCAAAAATTTCAAGTTTTTTGATCAAAAACTGGAAGCAATATCATATTTCGACTGCTTTGAACAAAATTAAAAATGAATTTACTGAAAATGCCATAAAATGTGAACAAATTTACAGAAATTTGAGCAGAAAAAAAAAATTGGCACTCAAAGAGTTAAGTATAATAATGAGTGAGGAGCATGACTGCATATCAAATATATTCAAGTACTCGGTGATAACATAACAGTGTTAACTTTGTAAATTGATTTTGTTGTTGCAGGAACTTCACCGTCATCTCAGGGTTTAAGATCATCTCAATCACAATCTACATCCACAGACAGTAGTGAAGATATTCCGCCAATAAATCCACCGGTACATAATGACAGAGTCACTTATCAAAGAGTAGAGTTGCCACCTGGACAGGATCCATTACCATCAAGTAAGTTTGTCTTTCTGCATCAATTCAGTACACCCACCTGTATATAATGAAACACTTGTCAAAGAAACTGATTCAGAAATGATATCTTAAAAGTCTATTTATTCATCAGTTTTGGACAAAGTCTGGAATGGATTGACCTACTTGTGTCTGTCCTAACCATGTTTAATTCCATCAAATTTAAACTTCATACATACATCATACATACTTTATGATCTGATTCGAAATGGTCGAATAGCAGTCATTTTCGTTCTAAAAATGCATCAAAATCAAGCATTTCTGCTATTCCTGAACCGGATCTCAGTCGTGTAGAGGTGGATATCATTTAAACTTGGTACATGCATTTGTTAACATTAAGGAACCTTGATAAACAATATTTGTTTTCCAGATTTGTTTCAAAATGACCAACTGGTGGCCATTTTGTTTTAATGTTGTTCCAAACCATATGTCTGGCATGCTCTGACTAAAATATTTCTTGAGCTTGAAAACTCACAGGGACTATGTAATTTAATTACCTGTTTAATCTGGGAAATCAAATGTGCATTTAACCAAGACTGCCAAAAACTTCCCAGTGAATTTTCTCACACACTTCAGTTTTATCTTAGTATAATCTAGTAATTCTTGGCACCTGTAATTGAATCCTCATGTGCATTCAATTACACTAAGTGCTCTAATGAAATTACATATACTTTCAGCAAACAGAGTGAAGTATATATGTCCTTCCTAAACAACCAAAACTTCTTTAACTCAAGTGTGCCTGAATTATATCGTAAACAAAGTTATTCTAAAATTTTCTCTTGTATAATCTGTATCATTCAGACTTTACTATAAGATTGAACCTAGTACATTGCTGACTCAGTACATCCTTCCAAAGGACATTGGTTATCTTGGTGTCTGGGGGAAACATGCAAGCAGAACGTCTTTTAAAACTTTATCTAATAGCACACATCTGGTAGTTTTGAAGGAAGTGTATTTGTAACTCCTTGTTTTCTGTCTGCGTATTGCAGACATGTCTGTACCATTCAACAAATAGATGATTTTACAGTTTCCTTCAAGTGTAGTTTTGACAGTGTAGTTTTCCCGAGTTTTTTTTTGTTTTTTTTAAGTATATATATATATATATATATATATTCGACTTTTTTTTCACAAGCCAATACATGTACAAATGAAAAACATAACTTTGACATCCCATTGTAACTTTTTTCAATATTCCTGTCTGACTTGCTGGAAATGAAAAACACTTTCAATGAGTGGTATTCAATGTCTTTAGGCATTTGTACACTTGTAAAGACATGATTTATTCAGTTCTTGGTATCTAGTTTTTCAATGACCTATAACCCTCAATCTGTGGGTTCCCTGATATGTGCGTGACTAAATTCCACACACAATGGGAGTCTGAGCGGTTACTCTGTCTGTATGTCTGTTCCACCAGTGTCTCAAGAACTTCTGTTCAGATTTTAGTGAAACTTGGTGTATAGATACTCTGGGATAATGGGCAGACCTGATTTGTTTTTGGTTGACATTATGCATATTAGTAATCTCATTTGCATAGTAATAAGCCAATTTTCAGCTGTTCTACTCATTTCTCAAGATCCGTTTATATTTCAATGAAACTTCGCACACAGCTGAATTGGAATAATGCACAGACATGGTTGGGTTATAGTATAAATATGTGCATATTAATTGCCTAATTTGCATAATAAATAGCCAATAATTAGTTACTCCAGTAATATGTCATGAACTGTTATCAGATTTCAATGAAACATGATAAACATGCATTGTGTTAATATCCAGATCCGATTACATTTCGGTTGACATCTGAGTATTAATTATCTAACTTACATAACAGTTTTAGCTATTTTACTGTTAACTCTGGAACATGGAACCCGGGACAAATCTCAGACCTGATTATTTTTCACTTTAAGCATCTGTGCAATTCATTATCTAATTTGCATAATCCTCCATTTTAAGCAGTTCCACCATAAAACATAAACAAGTTATTTATAATAAAATAAACTCTTTGAACTTTGTATCCAGTTAATTATTCAGATTATTAGATCAATGGTATGGGAGTAATAATGAATCAGAAATATACCCAATCAAACAATGCACTATATGTGGTTGCATGCGATTTTTCAAAAAAAGTTATATTTTCTGGATAATGAGATATGTTATTTACAGCCTGTTTTATTGTGGGTAATTTAGTGACAACAATTGTTCAATTAGCATAACTCTGATAGATTTCAATGAGTTTGAGAGATTTATTATTTAAAAATATTTGGAGAAATCAAGAATTATGGTTCATCATTAAAACAAAATATTAAAAAATTCTCAGACTTGACAGTGGATTTGCAACTTCAGCATTATTATAATCAAATATTAAATTTTTATTTAATTTATAACAAAAAAAATGATTAAAATCGAATGAAATGGGCAAAATGTAATTTGAATACTGACTGCAATAATTATGATCAGTGTGGCTTCAGTAGAAGTGTTTGGCGCCCCCAGTGGTTGAAACGAGAAATATCATTTCATGTATTTAATTCCCTCAGCACACAGGAGTTTCTTAGCTTTCTTTAATTATTTTTTTTTGTGAATTGTAAAATCATTTTTTTCAAATCTGAATAAAACTACTTAATGCAGTAGCAAATAATTTTTGTTGGCCTATTGATTTAGAATATTATTAGTATATGGATGTACATCATACCAGTGTCTCTGGATATTTATTGCTGAGCAGCAGGCTTAACTTAACTGAGTCTGGAAGCCAACATGGAAATATTATGTCAAATTCAATATGCAGATTTTATGCAAATGATCTCAATTTTTCAAAGTGAACACCTAATTGAATCTTCTTAAACCAGTATTGTGACTGTTCTCTTGCAGACTGGGAAGCCAGAGTTGACCAGTACGGAAGGATATTTTACATCGATCATGTCAATAGGACGACCACCTGGGGAAAGCCTACTGCCACAGGGAGAGATCATCTTAAGAGACAACAATCTCTGGAATCAGAGCAAAGTAGAGAGCAGTTAGATAGAAGGTATGTTGTTCTGAGGAGATGATCCTAATTGGAACTCTTTGCAAACTTGTTTAGATTGGCTGTGAATTAACTACTGATTATGAGTATATTGCTGCCAACTTGTACCATTCTAATTCCACCAATAATGAATGCATAGTATGTATTGCATATCTGATATGAGTATTGGGTTTTAAGCTCATGATTTACTTTGCCGGTGGTTGGTGGTTGGTTAATACCAGTAATTATGTAGTAAGCCAAGATGAGAAAATAAACCAGAACTGGTAATATATTCTGTGTACTAATGTAACCAGTTTTTGTACTAAAGTAGGGGTTTCTCTTTAATATTAGTGATCCAGGAAGCAAAATATGGGGTTAATACAATCCACGAGGCAGACTTGCTTGCTCTTGTTTTTTTTTTGGTTTTTTTTTTCAATAAAATAAATCATCATGGAAGTATGGAAATGGGAAAGCTGGGTTACCGCGAATGTCAGGTTACCGCAAAATAAACAAGGGACTTGTGACCCTTGTAGAGACCCCCTCTTGCGACCCCGGTGATGATTGTCACCGGTTTGAGTTCAGTGCGTGATGCAATGCTTGACAGGGTCATTAATACACCACCAATCAGCGTTAAGGTCAAAATTGGAGTTAGATTAGTTTTGCTAGTTAATTAGAAACCGCACCACAACTGAAGCTTGCATTTCACATTATTCAGAGAGATGATGTCATTGCAAGACTACTAGCCAACAAGAGGTCATCAATGCATACACTTCTGTTTAGTGAGTGTTGGTCTATCAAATCACCAACTAGCAACTCAATTTCTTGACAGGCAAGCGTCTTCTGGCCAGCTTTGAATAGTCTTCTAGGATTATCCGATTTTTTGATCTTTGACCCAACATTTATTACAAATGCATTTGCAAGTTCTCGGTGATACGAAAGTTGCGAAGGTTGTTTTTTTGTCAGTGTGCTAGCGATCGCTTGCCCGCTATTGACGGCCATCTTGAAAGAATGTAAACTTGTACATGTGCATGCTCCACTCATCAAATTTGTGACATCATCAAAATGCACATTAATATTAATATTAATAGCAAGGGTCACAAGTCTATTGTTCATTTCGTGGTAACCCAGCTTTCACCATTCATACACTCCCATATTTTATTTTATTGACAAAAATACAAAAAACTGTATGCAACTCCAAGTACACATATGTCTCAATTTGTGTTGAATTGAATTGTTTTCTCTGATTGATGTCAAACGGAAGACAAAACTTCAGTTCAAACAAAACTTGGTTTCAGATCTATGATGTACTAATTTAATTTTTAAAGAAAGTGTAGACAGTTGATTATCACTTCACCATAGACCCTTGGTAACAGTTCACCTTACACTGTAATAGCTGTACCATGTTATCTGTAATGGTCAAAAGTTAATCCTTAAAACAAACATATTGAGACATGCTATCAGAACAGATTTGTCATTCATAGCCGTTCATAGGAAATGTACATTACTAATTTGTATGTGTTCTTACTGTATCTACCACAGTGTCTTTGGTCAATAGAAATTATGCAGGGCGTGAACTTCAAATTTGAGAAAGCGTTCATTCTCAAGTTAAAAATTAAGTATCATGTCATGCACCAAGGCAAACTCTTTGGGCATCATGGCCATGACAATTGCCATTGATGTCTCTGTGAAGTTCAAGTCTATGTTGACTGCAATTTGTTCAGTCATGGTAAATTTGCTTGTCTCGTAATGATTAATGAATTGGGAGGGGGTGCAAAATTTGCATTAAGAAAATGTGAGTAGGAATTCTCTGCAATTTTTTATTGGATTTAATGGAAACAAGTTAGGTGATGGTGTTTCTGGAGATCGGAACAATGTCTACGGCAACTACACAAAATATGACGGGATTACCAACATGGTTGATTGTATATTAAAGCGGGGGAGTCATCACCTGCGCATGGCCATAGAGTGTCATTGTTCACAAACAAGCATCTACCCATGAGTCTGAGTATTCAGCGTGTGTTGTTATTGTTTGTTGGGACTCAATTCCTCTGCATTCACAGGTGACATCCTTCCCGCTTTAAGTATTAGGTGCATGTGTTCTTTCTTCAGAAATCATTGCGTTTTGTATTCTAACTTTACTGTGTGTCTTTCAAAACAAAATCCTAAAAACAAACCATATACATTTTTCTTCACGATATCTTTTTTAGTGACTAAAGTGGTTTCACACCATTAATAAAAAGTATATGTTTCATTTTAAAAGTACATGACAAGTGTAAAAGTTTATTTGTTTTGTGAACTAATCTGTGGTCAATATGACACTTGTAGATTTTCAATGTGTCCAAGTTAGAGTGTGAGATTTATTTTAATATTTTGTAGCAGCACTCGGTTGAAGCATGTTTTAATCTCATCTCTTGCCAATGAATGAGAAAAAAAATGGCACCAGCAGGTGACATGATTGTGAAATGTAGTGCACCCTCATTTATCGGTGTTTGAAATCGGCAATGTTATTTTTTGTTTTGCTGAGGCTCATCCGATATTGACAATGATAATTTTGATTATCATGCCAATGAGAAAATATGGCAACCAAACTTCTAATCAATTTGGTATATAGTAAATTCTGTATTTGTTTTCTGTAAATTGCATTAGACTAAGAAGACCTAGTGCCATCCCACAACGCCCTCTAGTGTTGATGACAGGGATAACTTTTGTTTACTTGCAACACTTGTTTGTTGTGGCATCATTGTGTTGTTTTTTAACACTTAGCACTATCTTAAGCTGATAACTGAGCTCTGTTCTATAAATAACTATGAGTATATTAGCCTTGTAAGGTGCTTCCCTTGTGTTGATTCTGTCTATGCTAGCGATCTTTGTACCATGTTTTCGTGCACTTCCAGTCAGATTGGGGTCAGACAGCTGTATGCTAATGTGTGCTGACATGACGGATGCTCACATCAGCTGTCTGCCCCTTTTTTATTTGTGGGCGTTTCATTAAATGATTTTCATGGGTGCATCATTTCATCCATATACGGATATGTTCTATTTTTTTGCCATAAAAATTTCAATTTACAATTTGTTATAAACCTATTTACAAATGTAGATCTACATGTATACTGTACACCAAAACCATATGTCATGTGCGGAATAGTTTGAATATCCGTTTGTTACAAAATGGCTGCTTGTCTGTTGAACTGCTTCAAATTGTTGCTGTATCGTATCTACGAATGATTACACAATCAGCCTTCATCTGTATAGTATTGAGATTACCGCAGAAAAAATAAATTGTAATATAGCTACCACCACTTGTTCACACGCCTGGATCATGTCGACCTCCGGAAGTGTTTATTTATTCAGTTTGTGCCTAATTAAATCATGGAACATCAATCAAATATCATTTCAGCTGTTTCATTTAATATTTATTATATTCACGCTTTTGGTCTCTACTTCAGAGACACTTTGAAACTACAGCTGTAACATGTATGCACTGTGAATAAACTTACGGTCTTACTCTGCTTGTGTACTATAGTCTGTGTAAAATACCCATCTTAAATGATAATATTAGCTTGTACAGAATGTGTGAATTGTATCTTGTATTGCAGGCTAGACCGATGTAACATAGGTATATTAGGCTAGACTGATAGGGCACATCTTCAACTTTGCAGCTCCAATGTACAAGTGAGATACAGAGAAAAATGAAATATTCGTTTAATTATCAGAGATTTGATATATTGCCGAGTTATTTGCTAGGTTGTAAATTCACTGGTTTGTGAGGGAAACCGTACATTCATCGAATGTTAAATTTGAGTAATCACTGGGTTTCCAGCATAATAATTCAGTATGCCAATCTATTGAGGAGAGTTGTAATAGCTGTCAAAGTTGTCTTATACCACTGTGCTTAGAATCAAATCAGAGATTTTAAAATGACTGGTGGCAGATTTCATCATGAAGCAAAGAATGACATCATTGCTATGTGACTGGTGTGTAAACATTAAAGTGAAAGATTAACAACAGAAGTTCCCTTTTTATGTACCTGTATATACTACTTGATAAGAACAGTGAATTTATTGCTCTGAGCACAGTTCCCGTGTGTGCTGAGAAACTCACTCTAAACAATGAGGTCATTTCAGTTAGTTTATTTATTTATTTATTTAATGTATAATAGCTTTCTGGTATTATTATAATTGTGTAAATCCAAATATAATTTTTTTGATTTTTTTTATCTTTTTTTTTTTTTGGCAGATATCAGAGCATTCGCAGGACCCTAGAAAGAGAGGTTGATGCCAGTGCTGTGAATGAAGAGGCCCAGGGGGCTACAGGTATTTGTTGTTTTTCTATCCTGCAAATCAGGTGATATCACATCACAATCATTGTTGCAAAATTTTTCTGAGATCAAAGTTCAGTTATTCGGTTCATTTTCCAGCTGGAGTGACTGACACCAAGTTGTCAAAAAAACATCATTTGCATATGTCAAAGGTCAGAAAATCCGGTTCTTCCCTGTCAAACGGCTTTGTATGAATAGTAATAGTCCTATATCGTAAAGCGGAAACACTAGCATTATTAGCCAGCAACTGAAACGGTGTGGAGGGTGCCTGTTCTGTTAGCTTATCTTTGAAGTTGAAAAAATTGTCTGAGTTCTTGTTTCGATGAGGATGCCACTACGAGCAATCCGCAGTACGTACGATGTTTATAACGGTAAATATATATTTTATAACTAAGAGTGATTGCGCAATCGTAATGATGATGTAATATGGCCTGATTTTTGCTGGGCATACTTTTCAACACATTGTTTTTTTAACCCCTTTTTTTGAATTTTTGATGAGCAGGAGTTATGAATTTTTATTGCAATATTTTGTTGAAATTTGTTTTCAGATATTTACAAGTATTAATAGAATAACAATCATTTTAAAAATTAGTAAACTTATTTAAACTGCCAGTGCTTAGATACTATGACAAGTATTGAATAATTAATTAGTCTGGTCATATTCATCAGCTAATTTGCATACTAATTAACTTTTCCATCTGTATTTTATAAATATGCAATATGTGCATATTAATAAGTTATTTCCTTTGTGTCTTTCAATTGAATTAAAATTTAAAAACAGGTTTACAAAGGCTATATCATACTAATTTAGCATATATCAATTTTTTAATAGTCACACTTTCATAATTACCCAGTATTTAGTTTTTCTCTTGTATTGTAGTTAATTCAGCATCTAATTAATTACTACCACTCATAATCATTTGTTTGTGTGCTTAGATTTTTGAAATTGCATTTTGAATTTTTTGGTGAAATGTGGTGTGAAATTCACAATGCTGTGGTGACTGCTATTCAGTATTCATGTTTATTATTCATTAAAAATGTAGATATAAATTTATTACTGGAAAATAATCTACTAAACTCTATTTAAACTTTTATGGTTGAAATCAGTTCGGAATTATGAGACATAACCTCTGTCTCGTAATGATTCTCAGCTACACACTGCCCCCAACGAAAACCTTAACGCCATAAGCAAATTGTTGCTGACAAATTGAATCAGATAATGATTTTTCGCCATATATGGTGAACAAAACTTTTTATCATTAGAAATGAAGGGGGAATCTTTTAAATTTCCATATACATGTATCCAGAACTTTTTGTTTTCAATATGTGGATATATTTGTTTCAGCACAGGTTTCAGCGACTTTTAAATGTATCACGATTTTCCAATACCCAGCTCTTGGTGATCTTTTGGCCGGCAAGTCATATTTTTTTGGCCAATGATGGCCCCAAAACATAACCCGATTACATGATAATTAGTAGAAGTGTTTTATCCTTTTTCAACGTGAGAATAATGCATTGTCAGATGGAGTTTACCCATTCACAATTTTACAGCATGTTCTTGAAACGACGTCAACAATTATGACAAGCTTAAACTAAATTAAATTAGAATGCATTTCTGAAACTTCGATCTGTACTTCTGTGACTCATAAACTAGCCGAATGATCACCCACCTGACAAAACATCGCCCATGGGTGATGTTTTGATTGGGCGGTGTATTGGACAAATATTAAATATTAGCTGACTCTTCTAACCACCCCCCCCCATTTAGTTGAAAGGGTGGTCCCTTATTTGTTTCAATGGCAAATTTTGCTCACGGTTTACGACATAGATTCCATATCTGATTTGGTGAGCAAAACTCAACCGACATGCAAAATATTGCCCACCAAAATATTGCTGGCCAAATTTTGCCCACCAAATTTTCAACCCACCATTTTCATCCCACCATTTTCAACCCATCACAACAAGCATATCAATACTGCTTGTCCTTCAGAACAAACTTTTTCAGATTTATGTGATGTGTTCTTGAAGTGTCCATTCCATATTTATTCATATTTATTTATTATTATAATTTAATTTAAATATATTTATCACTGATGGCCTCCATCTCTAATTAGATATCTGTCAATATAAACAGACAGATGTGATACAAAACAAGGCCAAGGTCAATAACGATGTTTTTATTAAAGACAACCGTCAGTCAACCGTATCTTGATGTTTTTAACAGCTGACGCAAATAAACTATTGTCGTATTTACTCCACTCAGCTTCAAAACTGTGGCTGAAAAATGGTCTAAACTCACGATATCATTTACTGATACCTGGACAAAAAGATTATTATTAAATTATGATATCATAATGTACCCACAATGCCTTGCACTACTTTGAGATATCAACCAACTGTATTCAATTGTGACTAGAATAAGAAAGTTAACAAGATAAAATAAGCCATTGAAACAATTTTTATCGTAATTTTTCTTGGATTCCTGATATACTTTGTAGAATTCAACCCACATAATGTTCACTCGTGTCATAATAAATAATAATCAACAAAATGAAGCCAAAAAGTTCAAGGTTAGGCCACACCGACTTAATTTTATGGATGACATCCACGCGCGCATTAGTTTTCGCCTGTTCTCAAAAAAAAAAAAAAAAAATCTCCGACGACGAGTCTCCACAGATCGGTTTTCTGTCTGGAACTTGCCGACTCGTATTGTCGCAAAGTGCCGGCTTGTCGTAAAACTCTTTTTGGACTATCTAAAAACGTGCCAATTTTGTCGTAAATGATCTTCTGCACATGCGTATTGCGTTGCCGGGAATACATGAGCATAAAAGTTCAGAGGAAAAACTGAGGGATTGTTGTAGACTGGTA